GTTCAGCCCCGTGGCTGAAGGGGACAGCGGGTGAGAACCCAGTTGAGTGGCCACCACAGCCAGAGACCCTTGTCCCCATGATGTGACATCCCCAGGGAGCTTGGCCACGGCTGCTGATCACTCCCCATCTGGGAACATCAAGGGTGGGGGACAAATGTAGGTGCTGGCCACCCATCCACACCCCAGGGCTGATACAGCCACTGGTGTCACCTCCAGTCACCCCAGCCACCAGTGTCACCCCAGCTACCAGTGTCACCCCAGCCACCACAGCCGGTTTATTTTCCTGCTGTACCTGTGAACCACAGGAGCGTGTTGCCCTTTCCATGGTTGTCAGCGACCTGTTTTATCCGTCCCACCAGGGCATCCATCTCTCTCAGGGAGGCTCCATAGATGTCCCAGCCCGAGGTGGGTGGTGGCAGCGAGGGGACCTCCAGTGGGACGTGCATATGGGCCAGCGCCAGGTAGAGGAAGAAGGGGCGTCCACTGTCACTGTGCAGGGAAGAGGGAGAATGTGTTCAGCTGGGTCAGGGAAGGGGAAGGCAGCAGCAGGAGTCACCAAGGTGGTGGCATTGCCAAGCCTGGGGACACCAATGGGTGGCCCTTCCTCCCAGGAGCTCTGGGAGCCACCCTAACCTCAGGGGAAAACCCTCTGTTCACCTGCTCCCCTGGCAGAGGGGATGCTTGTCACAGCGTGAGCCACTTCTCCTCTGCTCCTGCTTCAACCTCTCCCTGTTGTCCCCTCATTGTCAACTGTCCTCCCTTTGGGACAGGCTCATCCCTTCCTCCATCTCCCAAACACCCCATGTCGGTGCACCCCTGGCACCCACCCACCTCCATCTCCACTCTCATAGGGCTCATTTTGGCCCTTCCTCCGTCTCCCCAGTAAGCACTTGGTCCCCACAGGTGATTTGAGCAGAGGATGAGGAGCAGAAGTTCACCCACATCCACCCCGAGCGCGGCCGAGCAGCCCCGGCCAGGGAACACAGCACGTTCTCTCACCGTGAGCTGCCTCGCTGCCTGTTTGCTTTGAAATCATCAGAGGACACGTCCTGTTTTCTTGTTTACAGCTATATTTATCTCCTCCAAGGAGGCCTGCTCTTCCTCAGGGACCTCCGAAGGGAAGGGTGGGATGGTGAGTGGTGGGGAGGGACCGGATCCCCAGGACGTGCCCCAACACGCGCACGCGCCCAACTCCAGCTACCCCATCATTGCCTCCAGAAAGCTTTCGGGGCCCCTCTGACATGTGTTTCAACACTTCCTTCCTTTATTCGTCACCCATCTGGGGATGGAAAATGATGGGAAAAAAAAATAACTCCCATCCCACCCAGATCTGCTGGATCCTTCCCCAGCGGTGAAGAGCTGGGTGCCCCCAGCACCCTGTGAAACGCTGAGGTCAAGGGGTGCTGATGTGCCCTTTGGAAATCTCTGCAAAAAACACCTTTCCCTTTAGGATGGCAGAAACCTTGGAGTAGGGA